GGGCACTGACTGCTGCCTGTGCTCCAGGTGTGCAGACACAAGCAGCTTTTAGGCAGGTTCATCCAAACTGTAAACACTCTCACCCTCTTATGAGGCTCTGAAGTATGTCGGCTATGAGCATTGCTCATCTGGTACTTTTTTTTTTTTTTTTGCTTTTATTGATAGCCACAGTGATACAAGACATAAGAAGACACAACCAAAACAGGCACCCACCTACAGCACTGCTCCATGGTGCCAATAGTGGTGAAGCCCTACATATAGTACCGTTTTTTTAAATATGGTGATAAAACTTTGTCATGGACTAATGGGGGATGTGTCAGGAGGTAGAGTGGGTTGTCCACTAGTCAGAAGGTCTGTGGCAAGATACTGAAAGTGCCTTCAGGGGTCAATCAACAGAGAAGTCAATAAGAGTAAAAAAAGTGCTACATAAGTGCAGTCCAGTTAATGCATATATAAAAATAATGTTCTAAAACCATGTGTGTAAATTAGAGACTTTGCCATGAAATTGCTCAGTCACTCACAAAATAAAATGCTATACATTTGTACCGCTTTAAATACCGTAAATTTCGGACTATAAGCCGCTACTTTTTTCCACACGCTTTGAACCCTGCGGCCTATACAACGATGTGGCTAAATTATAGATTTTTACTGGCCAAAGGCCTCCAGGGGGCGCTCTAACGAGAAGCGCAAAAGTGAGACAGACATGTGGGGAAAGATTGTGCGCCGAAGAAGACACGGTAGTTTTGATTTTGATTTTGAACTGGAAATGGAAAACACACGGAGAAATGCATATGATGCGGCTTTTAAGTTAAAGGCCATCGATTTGGCCGTCAAAGAGGGAAATAGAGTTACTGCTCGTAAGCTTGATATCAATGAATCGATGGTGAGACTTTGGAGGCGGCAGTGGGAAGAACTGAGTCAATGTAAAAAGACGGCAGAAGCCGGCCGTGTTGGTGCCGTACAGGCAGTTTGAAAAAAAGCACGTCTTTAATTAAATCTTTAAAAAAAAAATTCCGTGTAATGTATTTCTGTGTACGTAAATATCTCATGTTACAACATGAAAACCTGCGGCTTATAGTGAAGGGCGGCCTATATATGTACAAAATTTATTTTCTTGTAAAATTTAGCTGGTGCGGCTTATATTCAGGTGCGCTCAATAGTCCGAGATTTACGGTACACATTTTGCATTCATCACTTCTCTCAACATGTTTCAGTATCAGATTTTTCAGGCAGTCATAAGTTTTGATTCACCCGATGACAGGTAAAGCAGTTTAAGCAGAACCTGATTGAGCAGGTTATAAGTTTCAGGAATCTGCTTATATATATTTCATGATGCACAGACATGAATGTAAAGTAGCAGATACCTGAAACTGTATAAAGAGTACATCAACATGTCTACAACACAGCAGCATGGTTTGCAGAATGGCTAGTTGTAATGTCAGTTGTAGGTAATAGTAGCAAATAAGTTAAAACACACAAAGCATGTTATGCTAATTCTAATTAACATATTTTAGATTTACTGTTTTATCTATCGATACAACTGCATTTTTAATCTTTGGTTCTTGAATTAGTTGACAGAGTAGTGTTGGAGGTCTATTAGTAAGAAATGCCTGGTCCTCTCTGTGGTGGGTGTTTGTGTGCGGTGATTATGGTTCACACAGCTCCACTACACAAACCATATAAATCACCCCCCACACACTGCTTAAGTTGGCCTCAATTAGTTGTGTCCTTGATATGAAACGTGGGCTCCACACAGCCTAATTTATGAGCTGGTTATTTGTGCAGCTCATTAAGGAGTGAGTAAACCCACAGAGAAGCAGAGGGAAGCATCTGGATCAATTCCACAAGCAGCAGCAGGGATACGGAGCTCTGGCCACTGTGGCCAATGAAAAAACAGCCCTCCCTGCTAAGTCAGCCCTCACTCTGCCCAGCTACTCATCTGTACATGTAATCTACAAAAACTTCTTTTTAAGAGTTGAGACTAAGTGGCGTTAGGTTACATAAGTGTGGAAAAGTTATTATTGTCAGATCCTGACCTCATGATGTTTTGATACCTGAAAGATTTTCCAGAAAATTCTATATTTTTGGCCATCATACAAATTAATGTTATTCTATAATGATTAAATGTGAGGAAGGACGCTGCTCTTAAAAGACAGAAATTCAATGCACAACAAAGGCATGACAGCATGGGCATGAGGGGAAGAGGTAATGATGTTAATCTAATGAGAATTTATTAAGACTCAGGTATAACAGGCTCATATGAGCTCACATAAAGAAGATACACAAGTACATATACACAAACGGAGCAACACATGATTAAACAATAATAAATAAATAAAAACAATAAAAATACGACAATAACAACATGAACCAAGGAAAGGCTATTGTGAATCTCATACATTTGCACTGATGTAACACCAAAGACTGGAAAGCAGAGATAGAAGATAAAATGATAAAATACTTAAATAGAAGACATGAAGTGAATAAAATCAGAAATAAAAGGTTAACAGTAGGGTAATAAAAAAATTAATAAAAACAAAGACGAAATAAAGATAAAATAATAAAATGTTAAACTTCATGTTTTGAAGTGAGTAAAACCATAAATAAAAAAGGTAGACATAGAATAAATAACCAGAAATAAAAGTAGGGTATTGAGAGGAAAATCATCCAGAAAATAAACATAGAATACAAGGACACACCAGTAAAACACCTTAAAATGTATAAAAAAAAATAGACACATTAATTAATTAAAAGGCCAGACTAAAATGGTCAGTCTTGAGTTTGATTTTAAAAATAAACACTGAGGCAGAGACGTGGACCAGAGTAATAAAGGGATGCCTCACTTTTTTTAAGTATTTATATGTGAGGGGAGAAATTCTATAAGGTCCTTAAAATTAAAGTGTTTTTCCTCTCAGGATGAAGAATAAGTGAATTTGAACCTGTCTTTTGTTGATAATCTGTGAATGAGATTTAGATGTTTCTTGGGCAGAATAAGACAATTTTGGCTGATGGTGGTGGTGCTACAGGAAAGATCAAGTATTGCCAAAAACATTAGACCTCTGGAGTTCCAAATACAGTATATGCAGAAAATGTAATATATATGGAAAGTGGTCTCTGACTTTTTGACCCCACTATATCTGAAATACCCTGTGATATTTGAAACACGTAAAACAGTGGTGAAGTGCACATGATTAGTGCTAGAGTGAAAGTCAGGAGGTTAGTTAAGTCATTAACTAGAATTAATGCCTTGTGGTTGTATGCCTCCGCCACTCAGACTAGTTTCAGCTTACATCCCTGTTTATCCACCGTCATATGAAATATTAACCTTTTTTGTGAAATTTTGTCATAATTGCTGTGTGGAGCCTTCAGTAATGGCTAAACGGTGTTTTGTGAGGTCACAGTGACACCTGACCACCGAAATCCAATCAGTTTGTCCTTGAGTCCAAGTGAATGTTTTTCTACCAAATTTGAAGAAATTCCCTCAAGTTGTTACGGAGATATTGAGTTCACAAGGCAAAAAACATGTTTTGTGAGTTCACCATGACCTTTGACCACCAAAATCTAATCAGTTTGTCCTTGAGTTTCACCCAGCTGTGATCACAGGTGTGGTCAGACATTCAACATGTATCTTATTTTCCTCCATAGATCTAGTTTGTTAATGATCTTCTGGGGACCATGAACATCCATAATCAATGTCACACACATCACAGAGTGATGGATCAAAGCACCACTACCAAGGCAAAAGCACTGATGAGCAAAGACAGAAACAAAATCAAAGACTGATAGGTCCAAGTTCCACTGCTGTTATTACAGCCATCCCTTATCTACCCCTCTTTGTCCCCTCATCCCCAATCAATTTTTGGCCACCCCTCATCAGACCCCTCTACCCCTCCTTTGTTGACACTCTGACTCCATCTCTCTCAACTAGCGCTACTGGCCTCAGCTGTCAGCCATTAGTATTCCTGCTGCCAAGGCCTGGGACCGCAGGGAACACACACACACACACACACACACACACACACACACACACACACACACACACACACACACACACCTTCGTCGTCTGGCATCCCTCAGGCCAAGGCTGAGTCTGTGTTTTGTCCATGTTTGTTGACGAGCCCAGCTCCAGCAACAGACTAATGCCAAGAGATTTTCATTCTAGCTCATTTGCTATTTTGTCCATTATTTTCTCCTTCTCATTTCTCTTGCAGTAATGTTTCTACACTCATAAGGTTTGCATTATTGATGAAGCTGCCCATCCTCCTCCTCCTCCCCCCATCTGTCTGAGCCAAAGGATGGAGGGGTGGGAGTATGGAGGAAATGAATGGGTGGAGAAGACATAGGGTTTGAAGGGTTTACGAAATGGGTGGGTGACCCAATGAGGGCTGTTAGACGATGGATGGACTGCAGACATGTCATGTAGGCAGTGTTTACTAAGCTTAGATCCAAGCCATAGAGAGCCACTTCAGGAGGGGATCCTAACTTACTAGTCTATGACTAAAATAAACTGACACATGAATGTGTTCAGTATCTGTCATGGCAACCTGTAACTTTTATTTTAATCAGTCTTGTTTAGGAGTTTGTGGTCTGATTGTGGCACTAGATCAAAGGTCAGGCTAAGAATAGACCAGGGGGTCAACTGAGTTAACGTGATCTGGGCTAAAGTGCTGGACCGATGGACCATCAGAGTTTCCAAAGCCACCTCCAATTCTGGGACCAAGAATTAGAAAAAAAACATCAACCAAAAAAAAAAAAAAAGTTGTGGCACCAGTAATAAGGTCGCCGAGCACTCATTTTCATTCTGTCCACCCTGCATCTGCTGAGCCAGGCCGCTGTCAAGCTTACACTGAGTAGTCTGATCCTGCCATTATTGTTAGTGTGGCATATGAAGCACATGAAGCACAGTGACAGAGGGGGTATTCAGCTTCATGTCCCGATTTCACACACTCTAACATCTAACAGGTGCACAACATTAGAGCATCATTATTCAGCACACTCACCGAAGTCAGCGAGTTTGAGCTCTCCGGTGTCGCTGATGAGCAGATTTTGTGGTTTCAGGTCACGGTGAAGGATGTACCTCTGGTGGATGTAGGACAAGCCTCTGAGTAGCTGGAACAGGAACAGCTGGAAAAAACAAGTTAACAGACAGTACTTTTTAAAGGTCCTATATAGTATAAAGGTAGATGTCCATGTGTTCTTTGATTATAAAGCAGATCTAGGTAAATATTAATACTGTGAATGTTGGGCTTAGCTTATGGTTCCAAAAGGCTTTTTTGTACATCTCAACAAGATACACCAGCCCACAAATTTTCATACATCTAGTTGAAACATACTGTGGGGGCTACTTTGTTGAAATTTCTAGGGGGCAGCCTTGAACGATGTTGCCACATCCATAAACGAGTTAGGCCATGTCCATTGCATCTGCCAAATTTTGTGAGTGTACGAGCACCGCTAGCCCCTCACAAATCCTGAAATTCATTAGGGGGCGCTATATAGCAGACATGCCACAACCGTGCCCAATTCCATTATCAAAAGAACTGTTCATGAGTACAAACTTGTGTACAAAGTTTTGTGAGTTTTTGCACATCCTAAAGGTCCTCAAAACTGTTTGTAAAATGAAAAACACCACAGCAAATCCAAAATGGCCAAATTCCTGCTTGGTGGAAAAAGTTCCAAAAATATAGATTATTGATATGTCCAATCATCTCACCAAATTTCATGAACATCCGAGAACCTCGACGTGGCCCTTAGTTTGGGGGGCACTATGGAGCCCACTGGTCATGCCCGAGCACTATTGAACTTTGCGATTTTTCACAGCCTTTAGGTCTGTACCAATTTTCGTGAATTTGTGTGTATGTTAAGGCTCTCAAAAGTCAAGTATTCCAACAGAATAATAATAATTAAAGCTGCAAGCAGCGTTGAATGGGCCCTTGCACTCTTTGGACTGTCATCAATAATGTGAAGTTTGGGGCAGATTGGGCAAGGTATACTATACTTCTAATAACTTCCTGTTTAATGGCAAAGCATCAAAACTCTCCACGCTGGCACAGCCGCACCATTCAACTCACAACTACTCACAATTTTCAAGCAAGCCATGTTCTATGGCATATTTATTTTATTTGTTCTGTTGAACAAAGTAAAAGCATTTTGACAGCTGAATAAGGATGGCTTTTTGTGCTCCTTTTATCAGGTTTCGCTGCCGCTGGCTGTTCACACTCCCAGTACACTATAGGTGGTCAGGTGTCAGTGCAAAACACAACTTTCTCCTTTGCATGAAATGTCTTGTTGGCGGTCCAGACAGAACTTCCTAGTCCTAATGACGTCAATATGTTTCTTGGTTCTGCCCACCTGCAAGATGGACACCCCCTGAGAGCTTGGCACGCCCCCCACAAAAGGCACAGCACATAATTTTTAATGAAGAGCTTTGTTTAGTTTTGTAGCCATGGCGAAAAGACACTGTTCTCAATTGCCTGGAGAGATGTTAATTTTTTCCACGGTTCTCCACTGCTCCAAAAATTATAGTATGAGCCCGGCACTTCAAGGAGGACTGCTTCTGTAGTTCACACGTAATGTAGCTAAATGGGGGGACTCAGCCTCACAGCCTGTCAGTCTGAATTATCATTGTGGATTTGTGATGTTTAACCGTGTTACCACAACCTGATCACGTTAGTAAGAAGCAGCATAGCACAGATATACATGCTTAAACGTTAACATGCTATACCTCGTTAGCTCAGATAAATCATCTACAATTTACCCACATAGTTTGTGTCTCAGTAACTACAGTGTATGTCCACTAAAGTTGAGTTAATTCAGATTTACCGGCATCGTAACCCAGCAGGAGGTGAAGCTGTGGAGACTCCCTACTTGTCAACTGTATGTCTGGTCCTCCATTATTTATCTTTTGTCCTGAATTGTCAACACATACAAAATCAAATGTTTTTTTCATAAAAGGTATTCCAAGCTATGTATATTGTCATCAGAATTCTTTGCAGACTGTCCATCGTCTTGATTTGCATCACTCTCCAAATTTCTGCCTCTACCCTCACTCTGGCTGCCTGACAGTGAGAATGCTTGTTTTCCTGCTCCAGTCCAGTTTCTGAACGTGGATCGGGTCTGTTATCTTCCGGGTCAGGATCGGACTCTTGTGCAAATCGATAAAGCAGAACCGAAGACCCCACAACCATTTGTTTACACAAGACATGCAGAACATGATGCTCTGATTGGTCAGCTGAGCTCTAACAGAGCATTTCAGACAGAGTGAATAGGATACAGTATAAAATGTACAGAAAAAGAAAAATAATGTAATTTCAGGACACTAAAGTATGTAGACACCAAGAATGAAATTATGAACACTAAAAATTGCCATTAAAAGGTCCTCCTTAACATAACTCTGTTCAAAATAAAATGGCATGTCTTTGCCTAACATAACAATATTGCTTTAATAACTATCCTCCAATTATTTCTAAATTCTGTCTTTGGACTATGGCAGACTAAACTGTGCAGACAGGTGTGGACAAATCTATTCATCACTGAGACAGGGCTGTGACTTCACTCTGGTCTAGCTGAGAACAGACATGAACCCCACGTTATTTACAAATAGCTTAATGAAATGTTGTCTCCTGCACAAAGGCACATGTACCAAAATCAATAATGAGCTATGAATCAAGAACACACCTGTCATTTTTTCCACTCAGACTATTGAACAGAGATCAAGAAATGAGTTCAACACAGCACACGTCAGATTTCTTAGCTGACAAGCCGCTGCATCGACCAGTCAGACTCAAAAATAAATTAGACTGTCTGTTACTGTTTCAGTTTATAAATACTGGCTTATGATAGATTGTATCAATAACTGCCTGCTGCTGAAATGTGTGTGATATTGTAGAAGAAGACATAGAGGTGAGTGCAGAAATAAGTGTAGGTGTGACAGACACCAGACACAGAGGTGGGCGGGGCCACTGCCTCCTTTTCATTTGGTGTGAAGGGTGGTCAATCAATTTGAATTGGACTGCTGACAGCAGGAGGGCATGAAAAGTTAAAATCACTAAACTTTGACCCAGATGGAAAAACATACATTTTCATCCCTCACCAAATGATATGTTTCTAGTTCCAGTCTGAGCTGTGGAGCAGAGGACAGCTGTGTTGATCCCAGCAATATTGAAAACATTACTTATTTTTGGAAAACTGTCCTTTTTATGCCAGTTTATGATGGATTGTAGCTGTTTGTAATACTGATCCTTTACTGGATGTTGAGTCCCATTGACAGCACCATAGGTTTACTGTGCCTATTCTATTATAAATATACAGTACCCTTCTGTGCAATATCAATTCAAAACTGTATCTTACAATAATCAAATTATTTTGAAGTTTTAGTGTAATATTTGATCTTATGTATACAGCATACAACATACACCTGTGATTTCCAGTTAAGACGAACTGCATGAACAAGGTTATAAAATAGGCAATGGACACCACAGCCTCCTCAGTTCTGTCCTGGGTTGTGTCTAATGCCATATGGCCATACACATGGTGAGGTACTGCCTGAAATAGAAAGAGACCAGACTGAGACTTCATAAATAAGAATGTACAGGAGCACCAGCAGTCTGCTGAACATGAGCTGAAAGCATGAAAAGCAGATGCTAAGTGTTTCTGATTTGCAGAACAAAGCTTATCTGTGGAAACTGGTGTTTCAATGATTCAAGATAATAGAGCAAAGAGTATTTAGCAGCTAAATAATAATAATAATATAATAATCCTGATGGGAGTTGGTGTAGACCGACCTGGACATAAATGGAGAGTGAACTTGAATTGATCAGAGGTAGGAAATGAATAATCATGTTGCTTCATGTTTGCTGGATGTGTATACAGAAAACTGCTTTCTAACATGTTAGTGTAATAACTTTAGAGTGTGAGGTGATATGTTACAGATTGTTACACTGTCCCCTAGTGGCCAAAAAAAAAAAAAAAACATTTTACCTTTAAGAACATTAAACTGTGATTAAACTACCATGATATGATATTAGTGCTCTTAGTGATAATATTTAATCACGCTCCTCACTGCCAGTCAGCCGGCCCCATCTATCCTAACAACGTAACATCTTTAACCTTTGACAGTTTGGGGCTAAAGCAGTGTTAAATGTAGCATACATACCTGGCCTGGCATCAGTCAAAAGCCATTAAGGAAGTTCATTGTGAGGACATGCAGACGTATGGACCCACAATTGACACTTTGCGACTCTTTCCACCATCAAACTATCAAATTGATAGGAAACAGAGAAAAAGGACCCCTCTTCCACAAACAGACCATGTTTTAGCATGTTCGAACGACACAGAACCAGACCAAAGGTCAAAGGGTCAGCTCCAGAGGATCAACCAATGGACACCAGGCAACTGGAGAATATAGGCAAAATCTCCAGTTTGTAACAATAAGACTCTGTCTAATGATATTTGATTTTTTCTTATATAGGACAAGTAACAACAAAAGGTCTGATTAACACTAAAGTGTGAATCCTGGCCTCTCTGTGCCATGCTTGAATACACGCACACACACACACACACACACACACGCGACCACACACGCACACACACACACACAACACACACACACACACAACACACACACACACAAACACACACACACACAACACACACACACAACCTCCCTTCCTCTGTCTCTCTAGATATGAGTCATAAACTACAACCACATTCCAATCCTGGGTAGTGACCAGCAGAACACTCTTCACAGACACAGATCTAAAGGCAGAAGGTAAAATTAAATATCTAGCTGTTCTGTAACTCATGAGATGTTCCTATGCAATAGTTTAATCCCAAACCTCTATCCCATAGAATGTTTGAAATGTAACATGTAGATTTTAAGACAATGTCCTTCATGTGACCATACTCTCAGCATTATATTATTATTACAGTCAAAGAACTGATGTGTAATCCACATTTATAGACTATTAGCTTTGGGAAATATTTATATTGTTGTTTGATCAATTAACCACTTGTATCATGATTAATTCCAGGTTTGAAGGATGTAATATGAAATCAACACTCCTATTACTCCTCTCTGCCATTATTAGTGCAAGTAGTTTTATATGTTATTTCACTTAATGTTTTGT